AGAAATGGTGTGGAGTAGACACAGATCACATTGGCAGTGCAGTGAGTTATGTGATCTGGAAAGGGAATTAGAAGACTCTGATAGCAATTGACTTACATGACTGAAGACTCCCTCTGACAGGGTAGGGGAGAGCTTCATGGGCTAGGCATTGCTGAGCAGGAGAGTTTTCAGCTTGCCAGCTATGGCAGAGCAAGTGAGGCATGAGGCTGGTGCTGACCACAGGTGGAGGCTGCCCCCTGGGACATGGGAGAGGGAGGGCAGGGAGTCACTGTCAAGAACTACTAGAGGTCTGGCCCAAGCCACAATACTCTAGGTGTGTAGCTTGGTTTTAATGTCATCAGAGTCCACCCTTCTATCAAGAGCAAGATGCCTGGTCCTTGTGGCAGTGGCCACGATTCTGTGTCATTTTTTATGTTTTAGACCGAATCTCACCGTATAGCCCAGGCTGAACTTGAACTCATGATCCTCCTGCTTTTGCTTCCTGAGTGCTGTGCTGCTACTACCTGCTCTTCTGCTTTGTTACAGCAGCCCTAGGATATACAAGGAATGTTTGTTGAATGAATGTGAGACCAGTGACAGGTCATTTCCCAGTCATTTAGTTCATCTATAAACAGGTCTACTGGTTTTGCATCCCTAACTCAAAGCCCCTTTCCCGGGGGGGGGGGGGGTGTGCCCACCTGTAGGAGTCGTGCTCGACCTTTGGAGCAGGCTCTTGCTGACTGCACCCCATCTTCCAGTCCCAAACCCCAAATTACCTGCAGATGGTGCTGTCCTGGAGCTTTTCCATCTTGCCCAATGTGCACACAGACCCAACCCCCCCTTAATGACACCTTGCTGCCTTCTGCTGAGGGAGGGGAGGGGGCTGGCTCAACCAGGCTGTGGTTTCTTTTTCCATTGCGTCAGGCCTCAGGGTCCGGATCCCTGCCCCGCTGTGGGGCTGGCACCAAGGGCCACTCTGATCCCCTGCCCGTCCCAACCTCAGACACCATGTGCTCCCCATTTCGGGGATCCAGGAGCTTCCTGCCAGAGGGTAAGTTGGAGGTGGGAGCCCTGCCCCTGCTTGGGGAGGAGTCCACTTCCCCGCCCACCATTCATAGAGTTCTGTTTTTCTTCAGCTGGAGCCTAAGCTGGCCCAGGTCGGTTGTAGTCGGCTTCCCTGGACCAGGCCCTCTTGGCTAAGCCCTCAGTTAGAGAAGGGATGTTAGTGCAATAACAAAGACCAGATTCTGGGTACGTGGACAGGATGGTGACGACCGTGAGGGTGTGTCCTCAGAGTGGTCTTGTGAGCTTAGGCCTTTGTATTTGTCCGTTTGAGTGTGTGTGTGTGTGTGTGTGTGTTGTACTGTGTACATGTGACCACAAGAATGTGTGCCTGCCCCCTTCCAGGTAGAAACAGAACTCTGGGCTATAGGGGTCCATGCCTAAGATGTATGAAATCCATTGTAGAGGGGCCAGTGTTGCAGGTAGGAGGTGGGTAAAGCCCACATGTCAGTGATGGGGGCTGGCTAGGGTGATAACAGAGGAGCTGAGGACCTAGTTTCTGTGTCCTCATTAAAATGCAGAATGGGCCAGCCCATAGGTACAGGTTTGCTATCCCACCTATTTGGGAGAGTGAGGCAGAGGGTGGCAAGATCGAGGCCTGCTGAGCTACAGAGTTCAAGGCCAGCCTGGGTAACTTAGTGAGAGCACTCTCTCAAAATTTATTTGTTTTTGTTTTTGTTTTTGTTTTTGTTTTTTTGGTTTTTTAAGACAAGGTTTCTCTGTGTGTCCCTGGCTGTCTTGGCATTTGCTTTGTAGACCAGGCTGGCCTCCAACTCAGAGATCTACCTGCCTCTTGAATCTCAAATTTTAAAATATATGTTAAAAGAGAAAGTGGGGGGGGGGATGTAGTTCAGTAGAGCACTTAGCTCGTATGTAGGGAGCCCCAGTTTCAAACCCCTGTCACTACAAAATACATACATGCATGCATGCATGCATACAGACAGACAGACATAAACCAGGCTTCTCCTTGGCTCTCCTGCTTTGCAGTCGTGGTTATAAGCTTGCCTCTTGGTCCCAGGCTCCCTGGTCTCGTGGGTTCCCAGGCTGTCCCTACTTTGCCCTACTCTTCCCCAAGTGAGAAGGTCTAGCACTGACTTGGGCATGGAGGGATGATCTCACAAGCAGTCTCTGCTGCTTCCTGGATGGTGGCCCTGGGCAGTGCCTGACTGGCTTCCACTTCCTGCTCCTCCACTTCCTGTCTGTAAAGTAGGGTGATGATCCTGTCCATGCCCACCCCAGGCAGAACAGGGACTGTGTGGACACCTTTGATACCCGCTGGCCAGTTGAGGCTTTGCTATCCATGCCCAGCTGCTTGCACCACCAGCATGGCTCCTCAGCCCTTTTCACAGAAATTGACAAGAATAAATACTGCCGGCAAATTGCACAGCTGTCCTGATGCTTTGGGAAGTGTGACTATAATGATGTCAAGGGACAGCCTGTAGGAGGGGAGGAGCTGAGGAGTGGCTTCTTCACTCTCCATATCTCCTGCCTGCCAGGAAGTCCTGTTGGCAGTGTCCCTTAGGAAGCTGGCATTGGGAGGAGCTGTGGTCTTTCTTGGCCTGCTGTGGGACAGCTGCTGCTGCTCCTTAACATGACAGTTAGCTGCTGTCTCAGGCAAAGTGAGCGTTTGAAAGGACCAGAACATGTGTTGGTATATGTCATCCCAGAATACAGCAGACAGAAACAAGGATTATATGTTCAAGGACAGCCTGGGCTACATAGTGAGATCCTACCTCACGAAGGGAGGTGAGGGTGGTGGCTCAGTGGGTGAAGTTACCACTAGGCCTAACTACCTCCATTCACCCCTGGGCTTCTCTCCTTCCAGGAAGGAGGGTACTGATTTACAAGTTGTTCTCTGATCTCCATGTCGGATGCACACCCACCCATTCCCCACAATAAACCAACAAATAGATATAAAAATTTTAAAGGGCTGGGAGACAGCCCATGCGCAAGCATGAAGACCAGAGTTCAGTTCCCCAGCAATCTTGTAAAAGGCAGGCCTGATGATGTGCACGTGTAATCCCAGTGCTGTCGGGGCCAGAATGGACAGGTCCCTGCAACTGGCTGGCCAGCCAGTCTAGTCAGATAGGTAAGTGTATAGCTTCAATAAAAGATCCTGTCTCAAAAAATCAGGGAAGTGGCTCAGTAGGTAAGGGCGCTTGTTCTATAAGCACGAGGCTCCGAGGACTTGAGATGGAAGGCCCAGAGTCTGTGTAAAAGGTCAGGCATGACTGTGGGTGCCTATAACCCCAACATCGAGAGGCAGAGACAGGAAGAATCTCAGAGCTCACTGGCCATCCAGCCTAGCCAAAAAGGTAACCTTGAGTTCAGTAAGAGACCTTATCCCAAGGGAGCAAGACAGAAATAAGAAGACATCTGGCATCTTGTTCTGGCCACTACCTGTGTGGCCACTGTATATGCACCCTCACATTCATACACACAACACTCATAGCAAAGTGGAGAACTATTGAGAAAGATGCCAGTGTCAGCCTCTGGCCTTCACAAATGTACTCACAAGTGAATGCACACACATAAAGGGCAACAAGATGCCCTGGCTTGCCATCACTCTCACTATGAAGTCCAACTATCCGTAGTGACCTGGGCTTATACAGTCCCTGTCCTACACCCTCACTGTATTTTGGCTAGATCAGGCTGGAGGCGCTGTAGAATCTCTAGCCCCAGAGGTGACCAGAGCTAGAATGTGCTCAGTAGGCTATTGGCAGGTCTTGAGATGAGGTAGGTATTCAACAAACACATAAGCCTCAGTTTCCATCCCTGGAAAATGGCATAGCACTACTATGTACCCAACAAGACTGAAGTAAAAACAAAAACAAACAAACAAAAAAACAGTGGGGTCCCACCGTGCTCTAAGACACAGGGGTATAAGCCTCCTCCTGGGGGAGATACAAGTCAGGTGAGCAGTGAGGGGGCTGAAGATTAGTGAAGCCCTTTGATATGATTGGGAACTAGGCTCATCACCCATGTTAATGCACATGGGAATCTCAAAGAAACAAGGTAAGACAGTGTGTTGACAGATAGGTTATAAACACAGAGAACTTCAGGCTTGTCTACAGGGCCAGTGACAAAGGGGTCCCACAACCCCCTCACCCTGTGGAGAGGTGAACACCTTGTCCTCTGAGGAAAACAGAGCCACTGACAGTTAAAAGTATTCACAGTCTCAGTAGAGGTACACTGGTCCTGAGGAGGGATTGGAGAAGTCAGGGATGCCTGGGGATGTCAGTTTTGTGCTGAAGACCAGGATCAACTCGGGCAAGACTAGAGTGGGGTAGAAGGGTGCTTGTTCACTTCATTTGGGCATACCCTTCATATATGCTCTAAAGCCTTCTGTATTCCACCCATGACCTTGGGCTAGAGATGTACAGGAACACAACAGGCGGTGAACGAGGTTGCCAATTTTGAGTAAGTTACCAGAGATTCACTTCCTAGTGGCCAAAGCAACAAGGAAAAGCCAAGCCAGCGTACACTCCACTGATGCTAGCCCATGCTTTGCTCAGGAGAAGCCCAGGTTTTCTGACACAATGCATGTAGGAAACCATGTCCACTATGATGTTCTGGGCAACCCATATCTCATAGGTAAGGACTGATCAAGGCAGAGGACAGGCACAAAGCAAACCATATACCTCTCGAAGACTCCTCGTTCCCTCCAGGTTTCTTGCGGTCTCCCTCCAACAAGCCTTTGCCCATGTCTTACATACACATCATCTGCCACCTCGTGGTCTACTTTGTTTTATTTCAAAACAGACTCTTGCCCTATAGCCCAGGCTAGCCTTGAACTCAAGAGCCTTCTGCTTTAGCCTCCTGCATGCTGGGATTACAAGCTTGTCCCAGTGTCCCTAGTCTAAACCCAGTTATTGAAGGTTAAGTGCTGAGGTCTCCCTGTGATAAGGTAGCATGTGAAGAGTGTCTGTCCCCTCCTGATGCTCACTCCTGTTCTCCAGACTGCCAAGAACTGCTGCTGCCGCCACCAACGCCCATGGCCTACATTCCAGATGGGGGCGCCCCCGCCACAGGGGCCATCCCCTTGGCCTCTCAGTGCTGTGTGTGCAAAGTGGAGCTGTCAGTGAGTGGCCAGAACCTGCTGGACCGGGATGTCACCTCCAAGTCTGATCCTTTCTGTGTCCTCTTTACAGAGGACAACGGCAGGTGGATGGAGGTGAGGCCATCCACAGTGTCTGGATGAATAAGGACTGGCTGGGCTGGGGGAGGGGAAGCTCCCTCTGGATCCAGGGAATGCTAGTCCTGCCCTTGGGATGAGGGCTTGTGGTGGAAGTTCACTCAGAAAATGGTCACTTTTACAATTAAACTTTAAGTGTACTAAAAATATTACTTAAGCCAAGTGTGGTGTTACAGACCTATAATTCCAGTACTGAGGCAGGAGAATCACAAGTTCCAGGTCAATCAGGGCCACATAATAAGTTCTGGTCCCCAAAAACCTAAAATAATATATGCAGAAATAAAATAATTAATTTGAAATATATTTCTGGCTGTGTGTAGTAGTGTGGGGACACATGCCTTTAGTACCAATACAAGCAGAGACAGGTGGATCTCTGAGTTTCAGGCCAGCCAAGGCTGCATAACAAGGCCTTGTCCTCCCTCCAACCCCCCCCCAAAACAAATACAACCCACCTATAAATACATACAGATTTATAGCTAGACTTCTAAATTATCACTCACAGATATATAATTATCATATTTATTATATCCTGATAGTTTATATGGCTATAGTTAGACAAAGCTTCCATAGCTTTGTACAGACTTGTTTCCTGCAAGGAACCTTCCTGATTTGTTTCTAACAATCACCCTGTTGGCCAGAAGCAAAGAGAAATAAGTTGCTCAAACTTGAGCCCAGAGATGGACTCATGCCCAGCAATGCTACTCCCTGCTGTGTGATCTCAGGTGAACCCCTGTCCCATTCTGGCCCTGTGTCTTTATTGAAATAGGGCTTTTATTTTCCCCTCTCCTACAGTGACTAACTTCAGTGCTGGGGACCTTCTGAGCTGAAGACTCTGGCCTGAGGCTTGGGAAAGGTTGTGGTTTAGGAAGGTTACCAAGAAACCGGAGCTGTTCATTTTAGCAGCCTCCCAAACCTGCTTTGATTCCCATTACAAAGGACGCTATTTTGTTGTTGATCAAATTCAGATTAACTCGAGGAAGATACTCTGGAAGATTGTAGACTGCCTACCAAGGAGAATCCCTAATCACTGTTCAATCTCTCATCTTCCAGATCATTCTACATGCATGTACATTTCCAAAAATATAGATTAGCCTTTTGTTAACCTAGAACTCCCGGTTCTTCCTCTGACAGCTGGGATGGCAGGTGTGCGACCACACAGTTCCTGCTTGAACTGGGCAGTGGTAGGCTCTCACTGAACATGCTGGCTTCTTGTGATGAAAAATATTTCTTTCAAAAAAGCTGGGATTGTTGACCAATTTATAGAGGGGAAAGTGGGACCTGGAGTATGTTGGTTTCTGTATCATCTGGTGTGTTGGTAGTATAGTCAACAGAAGGCGATATGACACCAGGTCAGCCCAGGAGTCTGGGGACAGTCCAGGCAGTTAGGTACTAATCTCCTCTGAGATGTCTCCAGAACCCCACCCTCCATGCTTCTCAGGGAGTAGTTTCTCCCCAACTCATGACACCCCCGCAATCTCTACTACCCCCAGATTGTCCACACAGGCTAAGAATAGTCTAGGTCAAGGAGTCTTCCGATCCCTGCTGCTCCTGCCCTTGGAAGCCTGGGTGGAAGGAAAAACCAACATAGCCCAGGTCTCAAAATAGACTGTCACTCAGACTCTGCTGTGTGTGTTCTGAGGCCAGGAGGTGGTTCCTACCCAGACTACTATGTACCCACAATGCCCAGCCCTGGTCCACCCAGGCTTTGGTGTCCAAAGCAAGTGGGCATGCTAGACTGAACAAATCCAGAATTCTGTCCAAGACACAAACATCCCCACCACCCAAGTCAATGACCCTGTGTGACCCACCTCCTCTCTTAGCAGCATGTACAGTGTGAGTTTTGAGAAAAGGGTTTTCCCAAAATAAAACATAGGAAAGCCATATAGCCAGAAGCCTTTGTTTTACAGAGGTAGAAGCAGGCCCAAATGGGGACAGGGATTTGTCCTCTGTCACTTGCCAGTCTGGGCTGCAGCCTGGGAATGGAGGGTCTTATAGAGTGAAGAGTGAGGGCTCTGGAATCAGTACTGGGCTCGTACCCTCACCTGCCTACCTCTGACTTAAAGTCTCAGAGCTGTGGTGTCCTCATCTGTGAGCTGGGTCTCATGGGCTGTGAATGCTGGTGGGAGGTGCTCAGTAGGAAGGTTGCCAGCCGCTAGCTAGAGAGGGAACCTGCCGCCATGACTCTGTCTTACCATGCCCCCTGCACCCCCCATGTCCCCGCCTCTCACCCCACCAGTATGACAGAACAGAAACAGCCATCAACAACCTCAACCCAGCCTTCTCCAAGAAGTTCGTGCTGGACTACCACTTCGAAGAGGTGCAGAAACTCAAGTTCGCCCTATTTGATCAGGACAAGTCCAGTGCACAGTTGGATGAACATGACTTCCTGGGTCAGTTCTCCTGCAGCCTTGGCACGGTGAGCCTGGGGTTCCCAAGTGGAGTGGGGTACACATGGGCCTCGGAGTCAACCTCTGCTCTTGGGGTCAGGCAGCCCTCAGACAGGATTTCCTATCCCTTCCTTTCTCTATCCGATCCTCTTATCAGACTCCCCCCGTCTGCCATGCAGACACCCCAGGAGCCAACAGGCTCAAAAGTGATGTAGCTCAGTGAGTTTGGGGTCAGGCAGAAAGCTTCCACAGAAGGAGCAAACAAATCAGTGCTAGCCACCCGCTACCGCAGAGAAGAGGGAGCAGTGTGGTACTTGGTGCTGTCACCATGGCCTGTTGTTGACCTATCCCCAAGAGCCCCTGCTGTCTCCCTAAACTGTCCTCTCTGTCTCTCCCATCCCAGATTGTCTCCAGCAAGAAGATCACTAGGCCTCTGCTGCTGATGAATGACAAGCCTGCAGGGAAGGGCTTGATCACGGTACCTGCCCCCTTCCTGCCCTTCACATCCCTTCTCTGTCTCCACCGCCCTCCCCCATCAATGGACTGCTTCTCCAGCAGATAATCACCAGCTTTGTTGGGAGTAAAAAGGCCCAACTTACAACTTAGCAACAGGTCTCTTAGCAACGGGCTTCTGGCTCTACAGATGATGCACTGGGGGCTGGCTGGCTGGGGGACTGTCAGAAAGGCCCTACAGGATGCTGATGATGCCATGTGATGCAGCTTAGAGCCAGGGGCCTCCTTATCGTTGGGGGAGGGGTGTCCAGAACCTTCCCAGTATCCCCCACCAATACTAGCCCCTGCAGCCTCCCCCCCCCCCCCGGGAGCATTTCAGAAAGCTCCTGATGCACATAACACTGTCTCTCAGTGATTCTAGCAATTGCAATGGTTCCCCTGCACCTTGCAGTGATTCTGGCAATGTACAGGTTCTTCCTGTGGATGGGCTCATTGGTCCTCAGAGCCTAGAAGGCAGGGCAAACCCCATCTTATAGATGTGGGAAAATGAGACCCAAGAGGAGCAAGAGTTCCTCTAGCGAGATTCCCCCTATAGCCCATGATGTGCTGATGTGTGCTCTTGAGCCCCTCACTCCCTCCCATGGCTCCTTCCTGCTGTGGAGTCTCCTTCAAGCTGAGAGAACCGGCAGCCCCTGCTTTGCTTCCCCACCTCAATTGTTTCTCCTTTCTCCTCCTACCCCACGTTCAGGGCAAGGCAAATCCATAGCATGTCTTAAAATGCCCAAGATAGTTTCCAGGCTGTTGCTGCAGCCTGGAACTCATCTCTCTAACCCCCTCAAAGTTCACAGCCAGCTCTCAGGGCAGCTTCTTTGCACTCAGTGTTTGTCTCGGATGCCCATGGCTTCACTCTAGGCCTGGGTTCCTTCCTCTGTCCTGGTCTGTGGTGCAGGGGGCAGAGGGCTGGCCAGTCTCAAGCAAGACTGTTCTCAGAGGCAGAGCCATGAGTCCATCGGTGGGGAGAGGCCACAGTGGACTTTTGCAGTTGTCCTGAGGTCTGAGGTCTGTGGCTATAGGGAAGACATGAATAGATGACAAACGTGAGGCCCCCATCTTTCCATGGACCTCAGTTTACTCAGCTGTGTGCAATGGGCAGTTAAGAGCTCCCATGTTGGAGAGAAAGCTTAAGGCCTATGCTCCCTGGTGCAGAGCCTCTCTCTTTGCCTCATGACCACCTCCCCTGACTAGTCCCCATATTACCTACCCCCCCTGGTGTCCTACAGCCCCTTTCCTGAGCCACGGGACTCACTTTCTGATTCTTCATAACGAGTCTCATCATTACCCCATTTTCCAGAAAATGGAAACCAAGCTGTAGAAGTGAAGAGGCTGGTCCAGGCTCACCAGCCACTCACTCTCCCCTTTGCCCTGCACCTAGCCCTAGAGAATTGGGTCCTGGCAGTGTGGGGAAGGGGTGGAGCAGATCCCGCTCTCATAGTCCCAACCTTTCAGATCGCAGCCCAGGAGCTGTCAGACAACCGTGTCATCACACTGAGCTTGGCAGGCAGGAAGCTGGATAAGAAGGTAAGCCAGGCATGGAGGGCTTCCATCAAACTCTTCCCCAGCCTGGGCCTGTGCTCTCTGCTGTAGCATTTCATTTCCTTCAAGGAACAGGCTGAGCACTGAACCACTGGAGTCAAGCCTTCTTACCCTCCTCCAGGGTTGACATTCTTGCTCTTCCCCCTCCTTTCCTGGTTAGACCAGATCCTTCTGCTTTCCTCAGCTTCATTAATTTTATCATTTTCCAGGGTTGAGGATGGGACCTGGGTCCTCACAATCCGCTAGGCTAGAGCTCCGCCATGGAGTACCCGGTGCCCAGGTTAAAGCAGACTCACTCCCATCCAGGTCCATTGTACTCTTCTGTCTGCCTGAGACCCTCTTCTGTGAACATGGTCATGGTACCCTTTCTGCATGCCAACTGTCCTTCTATAACCCCCTCCCCAAGGCCTCCTGGGGACAGAAGTGACAGTGGCCTTCAGTTGCCTGTCATCACACACTTTGCCTGTCTCCCTGTTGCATACTGTTGTCCTATACATTCTTACTCGGTTCACTCTGCCGTTTTATTTTTAACTTACATAAATGAATTTCTAGATGCCTTCATGCCCTTTGGTGACAGGCATCATATGTTTATTTATTTATTACATGCTGAGGAACACACAGAGAGCAGCTTGTGTAGTCTGCTCTCCTCCTTCCACTACATGAATTCTAGAGGGCGAATTCAAATGACCGAGTTTGATGGCAAGCACCCTTTGCAAAGCCATGCCACTGGCCTGCACTGTAATTTTAGGGTGGTGGTCTCCCTAAAGTCCTGGGGCCTGGCCTTATGATAGGCAGGGCCCTCTTGGAGCCTTGTGCTGCAGCTTCTCTACCTAAGGCATGGGGCTCTAGAACACAGGGCCCTTGCCTCACTGTGGGGTTTTCTCGTTTCTCTGGTGGTAGCACCAGGCCTCTGGCTGAACCTCAAGGAGGTTGTGGGGAAGAGAAGAGACAGACTGGCTGCACTGTACCTCCCACCAACCCTTAATCAGGGAGGTGGCTGGGCTACATTCCAGCCCCCATGAATCTGGTAGGGCTATGCCCTCTTACACATGTCCTGTCTCCCTGCAGGACCTCTTCGGGAAATCAGACCCATTTCTTGAGTTTTACAAGCCAGGGGATGATGGCAAATGGATGCTAGTCCACAGGACGGAGGTAGGTAGAACGGGCCTTGGCAATCTTACCACTTTTTGGTTCATCAAGCTGACAGCAGGGGGCGGCCTGTGCTGCCCCAGCCACATAGATCACACCGGAAGGGCCACAGGAACATTGGCTTCCAAAGCTGGGAGCATGTTTATGGGTTTGCCCACCTCTTCACACCCATCTCTAATGGGGTTATGAGCATTCTGCTCCTCCCTGTCTCCCAGGTGATCAAGTACACTCTGGACCCTGTGTGGAAGCCGTTCACTGTGCCATTGGTGTCCTTGTGTGATGGGGACCTGGAGAAGCCCATTCAGGTTAGTGGCCCTGGGGCTGTGTTACCCAGCCTGCCAGCCCCACCTTCTAGTCCACGCCAGTGAGGCTCCTGGTATACATACTTGAAACTTCTCTTATTAAAATGGGAATAGCCTTTCTTATAGGAAGGCAGGGGCCCTAGGATCAAGGCCTGGATCTCCCTGGTCCTCGGGACTTGGGCAGGATCCCTATCCCGAAGAGCCCTGCTGTAAATGCCTGCAAGGACTGCAGACAGGATTACAGAGGGTCCTGGCTGGCCAGAGGAGGAACAGATGGGTAGAGTAAGTAGCATAGCTTCCACCCTTGGGTAGCTTCAACCTGCTTTTCCAGCAATCATGGAAAGCTTCCTGCAGGAGGCAGCTCAGGAGCCCCAAGGCTAGACAGACCAGGCAATGAGAGGGAATGCCCACACAATAGACATGAGGTTTCCTCAGGTGTGAACAGGCTGAGAGTACCTCCTAGGGGCAGCTCTGGTGTGACCATGCTTAACCTGTCCCAGGTTATGTGCTATGACTATGACAGTAATGGAGGCCACGACTTCATCGGCGAGTTCCAGACCTCTGTGCTACAAATGAGTGAGGCTCGGGATGGCGTCCCGGTAAGATGGGCACATGTGCTGTGACTCTGGAGCTCAGCAGTGATTGCATAGAACTCCAGGACTTTGACCCAAGCAGAGAGGCCCAACCACACCTCTTCTGCCTATATGACCTTGAGCAAAACAGTCTCCTTGAGCCTCAGTTTCTCCCTCTGTAATATGGGGTAGAAGTTCAGGGTGTGGATGAAGTGGACACAGCCCCAAAAACCTGGGTACCCGGAGAGTGGTCTGAAGGAGGCCGCCTAGGGAACCCCTCCGGAGGAGGCATCTGCCCCTGGATGTAGGTTGTAGAGGGGATTCTGGGGCCCTGGGAGGATGGGGTCTTGAGATACCTCAGCTGAGTTTCCCTTCCTTCCATGGTGCCAGCTGGAGATGGAGTGCATCAACCCCAAGAAGCAGAGGAAGAAGAAGAGCTACAAGAACTCAGGCATCATTATCCTGAGATCATGCAAGGTGAGCTGCAGGCATAACCAAGCCTTGGTCTTCTTGTCTGCAGAATGGGTGTGTCAAAAAAAAAGTAGAGCATTCTACGGCTTAGTCACACATCAGGGTGTGAGCTGATTTCCCAGGTGATTTTCCAGCTCGAGGATCATGGGGAACTACCTCTACCCACCATGGAAGCTTACTCTGTACACTTGGGGCAGAGGCTGTGGGGCTGAGCACCCTGGCTTCAGGCACCAGAGAGGACCCAGGCAGCTATGGTTTCCCTGGTAGAAATGGGGCCACCAAGACTCAGAACACTATGGGCAAGCCACGTTGGTAGGCAGGACAGTAAGGAAGGTCGCATGAGTGGACAAGTGCATCTGGCTCAGCCTGGAGTGCAGGAGAACATGTCATTGCTGCCTGCTGAGGCCTCCCCACCCCTAGTGTAGAGCCCAGATTGTCACAGGGTCACAGGAGTTGGCAGGCGCTACAGACAGTGCTCTGTAGACATCAAGCGTGATTTTGGACCCATTTCTGAAACACCTGCCACTCAAAATATTTTGGCACCTGCTTGGCTGATTCTTCCAGTCCAGCCTGATTCTAAGATGGTCTGACTGTGTGGTCCAGGCTGGCCTTGATCTTGTCATCTTTCCAAGCTCAGACATAACAGGCACAGGAGAGAGATGTCCCTTTAAAATTTTGCTTCATTACATTTATCTTGGAGAGTCCTGATGCCACTGGCCTGGAAAGGCCAGGATGCTTTGCCAAGGGGAGGCAGAGGCCTTAACAGCAGACATGGTGTCTCCCCGCTTTGTTAAGCTGCTCAGGAGGCCTTGGACAGGCATCTGCATTTTGGGTGCATTAGCAAGGGAGGCGGTGAGGAATGGGGGAAGTGGCTGCCCGGCACCCAGTGAGTGGTGAATGGAGACTTCCTCTGTTGGAAACTAATTGGCAGGTGTGGCTGGCTCTGGGAAGCCTGGTGCCTGCCTAGAGTGATGCTTGTGTTCTGGGGTCCTTGTCCACTCATGGCCTTTGCTAGAGAGCTTTGGAGTCTGTTGTAATAAGATCAGGCCCAGCTGCTGCCTCTGGCCTCCTCCCGAGGCTCCAGGACACAAGCACCGACTCCTACAGGGAGCCACACCAGGATCTGCTGACTCACCAATTCTTCCAGATACACCGGAACTACTCATTCCTGGACTATATCCTAGGAGGCTGCCAGCTCATGTTCACCGTAAGACCCCTGCCATCACCAGCCCATCATCCATGGTTTGCTCTCAGGGTTCAGGTCTCTGCCACAGCAGCAGGGACTTGTAATAGACTTTAGCAAGGGCTTCCTTGGGGCAGAGAATGCAACTGGCCTCAGAGGAGAGGGGATAGGGAGTTTGTCCTGGTAGGCGGGCTGAGTCAGGCTTGGCTGGGGGCAAAGCAGGCCTACACAGGCTCTGCCATTCCCCTCACCAATTCTCTCCACAGAGGAGAAAGGTCAGTTCTTCCCTCTGGCAAGGAGGGCTCCACTGTCCAGTTGATCCTGCCTTCGCTTCTGTTCCTGGCAGTTCTCTGGCCACCCAAGGGCTCTGTGCTGTTCCCTCTGCCACCTTCTCAGAGACCCTCCCTGGAGCTTGTCCTCTGACACATCTGGCATTCATTGTCTTATCTGAAAGCTTAGGAACTTTCCACTCATCTGCACTTGTCCCTCCCCTAGTCTGGGAGTGCCATGAACTCTCTTCTTTCTCCTCCTTCCTGAGTTTATCGAGTACCCCCACCCCCACCTCCTCCACCTCCCACCCCCCCTCCCCAACTCCCCCACACATAGTGAGTACTTGTCTGTCACTTGTTTACAAGATAAACAGCCTCTTTGCCTGTGGCTGTAGTGTAAGCTCCAAATGGCCTCTGAGCCCTAGTCTTGCTCCTCATCCCAGGGGACTGCAAGCTATCCCTACCATGGTAGGCATTGGAGCACAAGAGTAACACAATAGAACAGTTTGCAGGTTGCAGACTGGGAAATGAGTATATCTCCTATGTCCACTAGGCCCTTCTAGTCCCTGAGGCTGTGCTGGGGATCTAGGGTGGGTGTCCACACTGCTTGGCATTTTTCATCCTTCTGCAGGTTGGAATAGACTTCACAGCCTCCAATGGGAATCCCCTGGACCCTTCTTCTCTACACTATATCAATCCCATGGGCACCAACGAATACTTGTCAGCCATTTGGGCAGTGGGACAGATCATTCAGGACTACGACAGGTATACTTGGAGATGACTCTGAAGGTCAGCTGGTGTCCCTTCAGACTGGAAAGCTCAGCTTGTCAGAGCTAAAAGGGACCCAGGGATCTGCAAGCCTGGGAATGGTGGGCCAGTGGCATACACAGCTATTGTCCCTTCCGTTCCCCATGGCAAACATTGCTAATCGGTTCCTGTACTCTTACCTGCCCAGCCCAGGTTCAAACTGAAATCTTTCTATACATGGTATACCAATCATCCAGTAAGAAAATGAGTTAGAAGGATGGAAGAGGAAGCTCAGTTGCTACAGTGCAGTCTCTGCTCTCACAGCTGGGGGTACAGTCCTGGGCGGGACTTGATTAGTGTCTGGTGATTGCTCAGCACTCAGAGGCACTCAGGTCTATGTAAGTTCAAGATCATCCTGGTCTGCGGTGTGAATTTTAGGCCAGCCAGGGCTACATAGTGAGTCCCTGATTTGGGTTTGTTTGTTTTAAGAATGTGTCTGAATGTACACAGCCGAGGACTAGGGCCTGGATGGCCCAGTTTCAGGGGATGGGGCCTAAAGGGTGGCTGTGCTCCCAGGCCACATTAAGATACACACAGCACGCAGAGCAAGGACGACTTCATGGTCAGGCAGAAGACCCTGATCTCCACCAGGTCACCCAAGCCCTTCCTTGCCACTCAGGCTCAGCAGAACCCCAGTGAGCTCGGACACCAAGCTGGAGCCTCTGCCTCTTGCCCATCTCCTTTAACTGGTCTCCCACTCTGTCCTGGGCTCTGGCAGTTCATGTTCTTGCCTTTAGGAAGCTCTCATTAGAAGAAGCCATCCAGAAGCAGAGTCTCCTGTTTAATGAGAGGCAGAAGACACTGGGACACCAAAGAGGGGCATATGGGGGTCTCAGGGACCCATCAGTGGCCATAGAGAGAAGTAGTTGTTTGGTTGGGCATTGGAGGATGAATAGGAGTTTGTTAAGGAAAACAGATTTGGGGAGGGCTATTTCAAATGGAGCATAGTGGCTGAAGTTGAGATAAGGGCCCATATGTTTGAGGAACTGGGAGAGGCCAGGGCCAGGTGTAGCTTTCAGGAACAGGAAGAAGAAGGTGAAACTAGGCTCTTGGGCTCATGAAGGCAGGCGTGGCTATCATTTTAGGAGTGTTTTTAACAGGAAGTTGGGAGCCTGGAACCAGTCCATTTGCTTCCACTATTAGTTACCCTGTCTCCTTGAGAAGGATCTATAGCGTGCTTCCAGGCCCATTGGTCAAAATTAAGCAACAGTGTCTGCCATGGGCACAAATGTGTCAAGCCAAGTTCAGCTGCCACCCAGAGGTGGGCTTAGACTTGGGCTTAGGGGGGAAATAACTCTAGAAGGGTGAATTCCTGCTGCCTGTCCCTGGACAGGAGAAGAGAGTGTGGTGTGGAGGGGTTGGGGGGTGTCCACATGTCTCACATGGTCTCTCTGTCTGCTCAGTGATAAGATGTTTCCTGCTCTGGGGTTTGGGGCCCAGCTGCCGCCAGACTGGAAGGTGAGTGAAACGGTGTGGGGCTCTGGGGCTCTGTCTGCCATGCACTCAGCCAAGACTACACTTGTGTCTGAGTCTTGTACCTCTGTGAGTGAGTCCAAGAGACAAGCAGAGGATGGTGTGGAACTCAGGGCAAAGGGGTAGACATCTGAACAGGGCCAAGATCCAGTCTGGGTGAGATAGAGAGGCAAGACACACCAATCTGGCCAGGGATGCAGACCTGAGCCAGGGGGCAGAAGAACAGATCGGGAGAAGTCATAGCACAGAAATCAGGAAAGGCCAAAGGTCAAGGAGCAGTGCTTGTTGGCTCTTGGAGCGCTCTACATGTAACTCCACCTGGGGGCCAGCTTCATTTCATTCTTACCACAAACTGCAGAGGTCGGCTGTGGTTCAACTTTGACAGTGGAGGAGGCTGGCAGAGGGGATTCGGGGAGGATAGAGTATCCAGCGCCCTGAGACACAGGGCAGGGAGAAGGGACCCTTAGCCTCCCTGACTCCAGTGAATGGATATAGTGGGAGGCCTGGTTAGACATGGAGTGGGCAATAGAGATGAAGTACTGGGGAGGGAGGGAGCCAGGGCAAGCAGGTCTCAGATGCTGGGAAGGAGACAGTGAAGGAGAAAGACACCCTAGATGCCCATGAAGTGGCCATAGTGGAGGGGAGGTAAGGACCTCACTTATGGCAGGAGGAAATTCTGAATGGCCCAGCTTGGGAAGTCACTGAGAACACAGGCCAAAGAGCTGGAGAGCTTTTGCAGCCAGAGCCATAAAACACTATCTGGTTTTACAGACTTTACAGATGGAACAGCCAAGGCTCAGGGCTTCAATGTGGCTTGCCTGGGGCTATCTTCACCCTAGGGGGCTGGGCTTCAGGTGGGCAGATGAACTAACTCTAGGATCATGTCCAAATCTGTTGCTTCCTAGAAGAGGAGCCTGTAGGGATGGCATGCCAAGCTCAGTCAGTTCCGCCTCTAGTCTGACCTGCTGTGCTGCACACCCATCCTCTCAGCTCATCTCAGGGTTCGCCTGGAGCATCCGAGTGACTCTGGGTCTAGCATATGAACAGTGGACATCCTGGCTTTGCACAGTGTGAGGCTGGACTCTGCGGGACCCAGGCTGAGACTCTGGACAAGCGTAGATGCCGCTGTGGAGGCAGGGGGAGCCAGTGGCCAGGCCCAGCAAGAGCTTGTTGCTAGGACAACAGCCAGCTTCCAAAGAACTCAGCTGAAAGAGATGTTTTCTTGAGCAAAAGCCGTGGAAATGTCACAGGGTAACGCTGGGGTCCTGGGGCTCGCCAGGCTAGGCACCCAGTGGCGGAGAAACAGCGAGCGCACTGTAAGAGGCCAGGAGAGCCCAGGTGTTCCGTCCCCTCTCCTGCACTGCCAGTGTATACCAGGCCTGGCCCTCTGGGCCTTCATCCTGCCGTTCTGCCACCTTCCCCCTGTCCTATGAGCCTGCCTTCCTTTCCTCCTTTCCACATCAGGACCTCTCCATATGCCTTTCACCTTTGACTCCTTCCTTCCACCATGTCCCAGCCTGCTGCCCCTGCTCCCTGGGAGCCCCGGCCTACATTGCCCACACTCACACGGGGTTGGCTCTCTGTCCTGGTGCTGTCCTCACAGCACGCAGTGATCTTCTTGTGCTCTCTGTGGGGAGGCATTTGGTTCCCACCTGCCTGGCGTACAGGTGGTATGAGGTCCTTGCCTCTGACAGTGCTTCTTTGACCTGTCTGGGATCTAGCCTAGTGGCTCAGCAGATGCTGGACAGACATGGCTTTGATTGTAGAACTTGAGATGCCAGCTTTTTTTTTTTTTAAGATTTGCTTTATTTTTAATTGTGTGTATGTGGGGGGGGGTACATATGTGACTGTAGGTGCTCGCAGAGGCCAGAGGCATTAGTTCATCTACAGCTGGAGTTACAGGTGGTTGTGAGCCACTAGATGTAGATGCTGAGCCCTGAACTCAGGTCCTCTACAAGAGCAGCATGTGCTCTTTACCACTAAGCCCACCCTGCAGCCCCAGACTGGGAGCCAGGACTTGTGACAAGAATGTAGGATCAGGCCTTGGGTTGCTGCACAGCTTACATGTGACCCACTCAGCCCCACGCAAGTTCTGATCCCTGGTTTAGCAATGAGTGGTGGTCAGCCAATCCCAGTTGCATGAGGTGTGAGGTAGACTTCTGCCTGGTGCTAAGATTAGAAAAGTCTTCAAGACCCAGGCAAGTGGCTCCCCAAATGGAAAGAGCGGACAGGGCATTCCTAGTGTTCCAGTGCCCCACGGCCCATGGCGCCATCTGTGTTCCATTCAGGGGTCTCTTGGCAAGGGAGGTACACAGCAGCCTGGACCCCCTCCAGAGGACAGTGGACTGGGCCCCCCCAAAGGACAGTGGACTGAACCCCCCCAGAGGACAGTGGACTGGGCCCCTCCAAAGGACAGTGGACTGAACCCCCCAGAGGACAGTGGACTGGACCCCCCCAGAGGACACTGGACTGGACCTCCCCCAGAGGACAGTGGACTGAACCCCCCCAGAGGACAGTGGACTGGGCCCCCCCCAAAGGACAGTGGACTGAACCCCCCAGAGGACAGTGGACTGGACCCCCCCAGAGGACAGTGGACTGGACCCCCCCAGAGGACAGTGGACTGGACCCCCCCCAGAGGACAGTGGACTAAACCCCCCCAGAGGACAGTGGACTGGACCCCCCCAGAGGACAGTGGACTGGACCCCCCAGAGGACAGTGGACTGGACCCCCCAGAGGACAGTGGTCTGGACCCCCCCAGAGGACAGTGGACTGGACCCCCCCAGAGGACACTGGACTGGACCCCCCCAGAGGACAGTGGACTGGACCCCCCCAGAGGACACTGGACTGGACCCCCCCAGAGGACAATGGACTGGACCCCCAGAGGACACTGGACTGGACCTCCCCCAGAGGACAGTGGACTGGACCCCCAGAGGACAGTAGACTGGACCCCCCCAGAGGACAGTAGACTGGACCCCCCCAGAGGACAGTGGACTGGACCCCCCAGAGGACAGTAGACTGGACCCCCCAGAGGACAGTAGACTGGACCCCCCCAGAGGACAGTGGACTGGACCCCCCCCAGAGGAAACTGGATTGGACCTCCCCCAGAGGACAGTGGACTGGACCCCCCCAGAGGACAGTGGACTGGACTCCCCCCCCCCAGAGGACAGTGGACTGGCATATAAGTCTGTTTCCTATTACGAAGTGAGGAGGCAGGTGTGGGATTAATAACCTAGATGTTAAAGCCTTTACCAGGCTTTAGAAAAGCTTCAGCGGGGGCTGGCCTCGGTGTGGGTCAGCATGCTGCCTCTCAGCCTGTCTTCTGCTTTCTAGGTGTCCCATGAGTTTGCCATCAACTTCAACCCCACCAACCCTTTCTGCTCAGGTGAGTGTGGATCTGCCTACAGAAGAAGCAGGCAGAGGGAGGGGACAGGATTCCAGCTCTGTCCTTCCCTTCTCATCCCTGCCATACTTACTCAGAGGGAGAGGTGAGAGGAGTGGAGGGTGGAGTCACACAGTCCCGAGTTCAAGGGTAGCTGTTGCCTGTTCCTAGCTGTGAAGTCACTGCACCTCTCTGGGCCTTTACCCCCTTTCCGGCCCCAGGGAGATGTGATACCTGCTTAGCTCATTTCCCCCGGTGAATGGGGATACAGATGAGAGTTGGGGGGGCAGGGGCCAGCAGGAAGGTATCATTACACACCTGCTCTCACCTTCTGCCTGCCCCTCTCCCTTGATAGAAGAGCTGTGATGGCCTAAGATGGATAGTGACCTGTTACCCCACATGTACCTCAAGGCAGTTCAGAAACTGAGAGGAGAGAGGGTGCTGGGGGGGCAGTGGAAAGGGCATCCAGTCTCTTTGGGGGATCCTGAGGCTGGACCAGGATGAACCACACAGAGAAGGATGTTCCTAATGTCACAGTAGGGCTGTAGTTATGATTTGGGAATAGAGGGTGTTCCTTGGCCATCAGTGAGGTCTGGTGCTCCCTGGGCTCTGGTTTGGTACAGGTCCTCAAAGATGTGTGTAAGTTTAGGTTGGTCCATGTCAGCCCTGGCCAGAGGCCTCCTGGCCAGGAGCACAGCTCTGTGGAGTGTTGACTGGTCAGGATAGCAGCTACTTGCAGAGCACCTGGTATGTAAAGAGTGGTTTAAGCCCCGCCCCCTCCAGAGCAGCTGCCAAGAATGTCCAGAATGAACCTCCAGATAGTTCCTGGTGTCACCTACTTGTCTGACTCCTGTGTCATTCACCCACTGGGAGAGGCTCAGAAAGCTTAAACAGGTCACCCCAGGCCTAAACTCAGGCCTGTCTGATTCAGTCAGGCTTCCTCTACTACCTCAGCCCTGCCTGCGAGAGCTTTCTGTTTCGAGGCCACACTGGCAATGGCAGGGACGTTCTAGGGGAGCATGAAGTAGGTACTTTGTTAGCAGCAGGATAAGGACAAGAGCCCAAAGCTCTGGGCTCATCCAGGTTGTCTTCTGCAGGTGTGGATGGCATCGCCCAGGCATACTCAGCCTGTCTGCCCCACATCCGCTTCTATGGTCCCACAAACTTCTCCCCTATCGTTAACCATGTGGCCCGGTTTGCAGCACAGGCCACACAGCAGCAGACAGCAACGGTAAGTAGGCAGCAAGGGTGTGTGCATGCTGGGGTGAGGCTAGCAGCGACTGGCACCCTGCCCAAAGGAGGGAAATCTGACTGGGATGTGTGTTCTTATCTGTCAGTATGGGGCTAGAAGAAGGTATTCCCCCTCCCTTGATTCCCTGTCCAGGTGAGATGCAGGCTCTCTCTAGGCTGCTGTCCTGGTTCTGAGGCTGGAAAAGCCCAGTTTGATGAGCCTTGCTTCCTGGAGCCCTAAAGAAATGCCATTAGAGCATTGCAGGAAGTGAGTCACCTTGTGACCCTGAACGTCTCGTAGGGAAGGGCTTGCTACTATCTGGACCCTGTGGTTTAGACACTGACCCTTTGGAATACTTTGGTCCAAAGCCAGACAGGGAAAGCTACAGACTGTCTAGGCCTTGCCTGAAGCTAAGTAGCAAGACTACAGTGGTGGGTATACGTCTCTGATGAAGCAGGTGACCGACCAGCCTGGGCATCTGCAGCCCTGCACATCTCATTCCTTCCAGCAGGGCTAGGTGCCAGGGCTTCCACAAGGGCTTCTCCCCACACTGCACGGTGACTCGCTGGCCCTGCAAGCCCATCTCCTTGTGGTCCTACTCCATTCATGCCTTCATAGCAACTTAGCAGCCTCTTGGTCACAGGTTTTGCACCTGTTGGTTCTAGATTCAGCCACGGCTCTCTGCACTCACTTCACTATAGACTTTAAGCCTGGGCACAGTGCCTGGTGGGTGACAGGTACGCAGTGCTCCATAGATAGGTGGGACTAGGTCAGTGAGACCATGCCACTTGCCTATCCCAAAGGGAAGGCTCTACTCTATGAATAAGGGGACCAGTGTGGTACTGTTCATAGGAGGGAGGCACCTGGTCACCGAGGAAGTAGAGGTTGGCTTTCCTGAAGGCCATAGGGCTGGCTCTGGGAAGTATTGGGTCTGTCCTGTCATGGAGGCAGGCAAGACTCTGGGGATGAAGCCTGTCCCAGTCATTTGCTCTGCCTCTGTTTCTAGAGCAGACCAGTGTCCTGTTTGTGTCGATGGGGAACATGCCACACTGCCTGAGGAGGGTAGCATTTGATTATCCTGGAGTCCTCCATGCCAGGGCCTTGAATGAGTGGAGTACCAGGAACTGGAAAGTGGGACTAGCACTCACAAAACGCTGATGGAGGGACAGCCAAGAAGGGGCTAGAGATCTGTGCTGTGTATCAGATGTGTCCCGTTTAGTCCCCCGACTATGGCAGCTGAGAACCCAGATTCCTGCTTTTCTTTAAGCCCAGTTCCTCTGATGCAGTGGGAGTGCTGACCCCCGTGGTGATAGAAGATGGGGTGACCCAAATAGGCAGTAACTCTGTGAGGCCTGGCAGGGACCGTGTTTTGTTTAGGGTTAGGAGGTTCTGAGACACAATGGCTTGGATAGTACAGAGTAAGGGGCAGCCTTCAGCTTCACTACCCTCTTGTGAGGGTGCCAGGCTCCGTTCCAGCAAGGCTGTGGGCTACATGGGTCTTACAAAGGTATGAGAACAGGCCTGCTTGCTTCTTCAGGAAAAGCCACTTGGGCAGGGAACATGAGCAACATTCCAGCAGTGTGCCAGGCCTCTGCCTCCTGCTAGCCAGGAGCTGGCAGGAGGTGGGGTTGGAAATCAATGGCTTCATGACTGAGGGACTCCAGATCTTCTAGGGTCTTTTCCATCCCTCTTCACCAGTGAGAGCCTTACCTTTGTTTTGAGCAAAAGGACTTGAGACCTGCTCTCAGACACCTGCTCTCTACCCTCTGGAATCAGCCTCGTTTTGCTGTCACTTGCTACTCCAAGCCACCCTTGGCTTTCCGGAGTAATCTGTTATCTCTAAGGCCTTGTGACTTCAAATGATGCCTAAGCATCTCCAGCCCCTCCCACTCTGAGGTCCTAGAGTAGATACATACTATTCTACCACCTTCTTCACCAAAGGAGGTGAGCAGGACTGTGGGGTGGCTCAACCTCAAGGGGAAAGAACCTAATTCAAGCTCCACCTCCCTCCCCCACTTCCTGGTTGTGCTACTAGGGCAGGCAGTTTAAGGTCTCTAAGCTTTGGTTTCTCACTCAGCACTTTCCTTTTGGTAATGCTGTGCACAGCGAGGCCCACAGGAAATGGAAGCACTTGGTGGGTTAGCTGATTCTTCTGTTTAGCCATGTTTTGGTGTTGGGGAATCTGATGTGACTTCACCTCCTGTCCCCTCACATTTGCTCACACAGCACACCCACATGGAGGGCAGATGGTGGTGTCTCTAGGGGACCTCACTCTTCCATTCATTTATTCCAGGTGTCTTTTTTGAGCATTTCTGTGCAACCTCTGGGACACCTGGACAAGTGAGGTCCAGCTTTTATAGGCTAGTGAGTTAGCTGGGAGGCCACAGCAGCAATGCAGTGTGACTAAGCCTGTGGTGGTTGCAGTACAGGAGCACACAGGTGGCACCTAAGTGACAGCCAACACAAGGAAAGGTTGATGCTTTGAAGGGGGTGTTCAAGCTTAGACTTGAGAGATTCTTACGAGTTAGCTTCACAGGTGTGTGTGTGTGTGTGTGTGTGTGTGTGTGTGTGTGTGTGTGAGAGAGAGAGAGAGAGAGAGAGAGAGAGAGAGAGAGAGAGAGCTTAAGTGCATGCTGTATATAATGGCCCAGCAGAGGGAATAGCATATGCAGAGGCATAGTGTGTGGGTATAACGGATAGAAGGCATGTGTAAGCATGTGTAAGGAGACTGACAGAGTAGGCAGGATTGAGAAGGCTGGCCACCTCCCACAGGAACTTGGAAGCCATCAAGCACTCTGTGTTTCCTCCTGAGGGCAATGGGGAGCCACTAGAGAGTAATGAGCAGGTTTGAGTCAGTAAGGCCTTATATTTTATGGCCTAATCCTGGTTTGTGGCCAAGGCATCCAGTTGCTGGATGGCGTACAGGTAGCAGCCAGCATCCTAGAAATGTCTCTTAACTCCCATCCCAGAGCCCCTGGCAGCCAATTTTTCAGAAGTTACCAGCTTCCCCAGACTCTGCCCGGAATTGTGGTGGTCAGGTCAGTTTATTATGAATCCAGTCATCAATGCATTAGGAAAAGCAGCTGTGCAGTCCTAGCACCCAAGGCAAGCCTGGAATCGGCAAGAGATGCTCTTCTCTTTGAATGTGCTGGGAGTAGGTTAAGGGACTCTATTTGATGTGTCTGTTTCTGAGGCCTAAATTGGATGTTCTGCGTTGTCAGGGGCACCTGGGGTGTAGGGAAGGTGTGTGTGGAGGGACCCCCGTGGGATCCTCACTGGCCATGGAAGCAGAGAGCACAGTTGCTTGGGACAGAGGCTTCAACACTCAGCAGCTTACAAGCTGTGGCTAGGAAGGGTATCAGAAGGGACCAGCACAGTAGGGACACTAGGACTGCAGAGTCCCTTCCCACCCCTCCTACTCCAATCTCCCCTCCACAGCCCTTTTCATTTGCTCTAGGAGCCTCAGGATGTGGTGGTAGATCTTTAACGCTCCAGTGGCTGAGGCACCCAAGAGTGGCGGCTTACAGCCAGGGTTCTGGACTCTGCCCTAGGCCACTGTTCCAGTCGTTCAGACTGTCCAATCCCAGGTTAATGGGTGACAAAAGAGCTTTCCCCAGGTAGGCTCACAGTGCTCAGCCACCAATAATACGGTGGGTGGCAGCGGACAGCATGCAAAGAGCCCCAGCTGTGTAGTCAGGCAGGTGTGGGCATGAACCTAAAACCTATCAGTTACCTGTTATGTGGCCTTAACAAGGTATGTAACCCCTCTGAGCCTTCTGGTGCTCTGAGCCAGGCTCACAGTTAGATTGTCTGCTAAAGGAACCCTTTGCCCAGCCTACCGTACCTACAGTCTGGCAGGAACCAGGCCCTGCTTTTCTGCACTCAGATTCTTGGGAAGAAAGACAGAAGACTACAACAGAGAGCAAGAGGACCACAGGGAGGTGGAACACATGTCTAAGCTGGACAGGGCTTGAAGACAAGTGCTACCTTTGACTGAGCAGCCAATTAGACCTTTCTTTCCTCATTGTCAGGCCTCTTCCAGCCTCCTTTCTGCCAGCCTAAGTATCCCAAGAAGATTGCCCAGAACTGCCTGGTAGTTGAGGTTAATGTGGATAAAAAGTCAGCCAGGGAAGGGATCCTGAAACAACAATTGGAAGTGGCAGGGAAAGGGTCTAGATGGACTGATAAAACCAGGACTAGGGCCTGGCAGCAGCAGCTCTCTACTGCTGGGTTCAGACTACTATCTCCATGGCAACAACTATCCCCTGCCAGAGGATTGGTCTCTTAAAGGCACAGCGTTGGAGCCGGGTGAGGAGGGTGGGACCAGCGTCTGCACCAGCCCCACCACTCCCTGACCTGTAGCTTGTACTTTGGGAGAGAAGAAGAAAAAGAAGGTTTATGTCATCTGCAAGCTGCACAGCTTCTCTAGGTGAGAAGGTGGCTCCATGCCCACCTGGGTCACCTCTGTCCTTTCTGAGCTTCATGGCTTTCTTTTTTGGCAACTAGGAGTCAGATTACAGGACAGAGGCCCCCAACTGAATCGGGATGCAGCTCAATCTGTTTGTCTCATGGGTAGGGCACAACACTGAATTCTTCTGGCCAGGACAGTGCTGAGGTGAAAGTTAATGTACCAGCCAACTCCAAGTCTGAGGACCATTTGTTGGATTGTCCTGTGAATTTCCAGAATGTCATCTAACCTCTCCATACCAAGTCATCCGTTGTATACTTTGTCCTCATATTACCCATGTTCACTATTCAATATATTCTAACTAAAATCATTTATAAAAACACGTCGCTATATGAAAGTTTCATGTCACTTGTCATAAGTAGACGGTAACAGGGAGACACAGAGCAAACTATATAATGGTGTTAGGGTCTAGCTGGAGCCTATGCTGTCTAAGCCCTGAGCTTCCTACCTTCTCTTGATGAAGAGAGTTCATGAAAGCTGGAGGCCTAAGAAATCAGTCTGCACCAAGGCACGGTGTGTGTAGAACAGGGTACTGTACACCTACTCCTCCTGCCCCAATTCTGATAACACTGTAACCTACACATGACCCTGACCCATCTCAGAAGTGATGGCTCAAATAACCTGTGCTTAGCCCCTGCAGGTGTCTCTCTTTGTATTGAGCTAACAGATTACAGGTATTGTAGCCCACAAAGACAGAGGAGGTAGGCCAGCCCCAGAGGCTTCCATGTAGGCTAGAAGGTTTTCCTGTGCAAGCCTGGGCCTGTCAGGCAGCTGACAAAGCAGCTTAGAGATGATGAAACTCAAGTGCAGCAGATTAAGTCTTAGTGACCTAGAGCTGTACTGCATAGCAACTGGCAGAGCCAGCCTTGAGCCCATGGCCCAACCCACAGCAGGGAATGTCCCACTGTATGGGCAGTTTGCCTCCTTCAGGCCTTGGAGATTCAGAGGGGAGGGGCCTCATCAGGGCCTCATCCTTGCTCATCACCTGCTGACTCTTCCTTACAGCAATACTTCATCCTCCTCATCATCACTGATGGGGTCATCAGTGACATGGAGGAGACACGACACGCCGTAGTGCAGGCCTCCAAGCTGCCCATGTCCATTATCATTGTGGGTGTGGGCAATGCTGATTTTGCAGCCATGGAGTTTCTGGATGGGGACAACCGTAGACTGCGCTCACATACAGGCGAGGAGGCAGCCCGCGACATTGTGCAGTTTGTGCCCTTCCGAGAATTCCGCAATGTGAGTGTGGGCCCAGGCTGGGAGGGGCAGCTGCAGGGTCTGCAGCAGAGCTTATAGTCCATGATGGGCATCTAGTCAACCTCAGGTTCCTCCCCCTAAACTGTTGGCTTCTGAGGACCCACAATGAGCCAGGTGCTGTCACCCTTGCCCAAGACTAGGCCATTGTGGCATTATGGACTTATTTTCACAAACCAAAGGAACCCAGGAGTGGGACCTAATCCATATTATGGCTCTAGATAGTGTCCTGGGTAAGGACTATTCTGATGAGCAGAACAGAAGCAGGATGAGGGAGCCACGGCTTAGAGCTGCACTTTGCTCCTGTGCTTTCTTCAACCAGCCCCTTATTCTGCAGATAGGAAGATGGAAGCTGAGAAAAACCCCTCCTCCTGTTAGTTTGGCTTTCTTTCCCAAAATATGGGGGAGTTTGGTGTTAGTGGTGGTAGCCAGCCTCTTCCTGGAAGTGGCTCTGGCTTTACTGAGATATCCTTTGAGGAGGCCAGGGCTGGCAGGAAGCTCTTGAGATGCTATCTTTTGGATGGATCTGGGTCTTTGGGTGGCATCACACAAGGTCAGCCTAGGTTCTCAGAGATCAGTAATGCATCACATGGTCTTAGGAAAGCCATGACTTTCCTGAGCCTCAGTTCCCTCAGCTGAAGCCTGTAGAAACAGCAGTGCTTAAATCCTGCGAACCAGGCCCAGCCAATTGGTGGCCCAGTGGTCATCATGTATCTGCCGAGGGTGATTCTGTGCCTTTTTCTGGCTTCCTAGGGCAAATGTGGGGCATTGGTCATCTGTTGCTGTATGAGGCAGCGACTTGACACTTTGCTGTGCCTAGCTGCTCAGTAGTGACCTTTCACTGCTGCGTCTCATAGCAGATTGTCAGTCAGCAAATGTTCCCAGCTGAGTAAGCTAGACAGCCATTTCTTCCCTCAAATTCATCCTCTAAGGTCTTTCCCCCAAACACCTCCAGCCTGTGAGGGAAGACAGTAGTGGGATTAGGGTTTGGGCTGGGATGAGGGTCACATTTCAGATGGCCCTGACTCTGCCCTGAAGTCCTCCAGTCTCCACCCCCTGCTATCACAGCTCTGTGATAGCAAATCTCCCAACTTCTGCTTGTTTTAATCTTCCTCCTCTTTCCTTTTTCTCCTCACCTGGACCCATAGGCAGCAAAAGAAACTCTGGCCAAAGCGGTGTTGGCGGAGCTGCCTCAGCAAGTAGTGCAGTATTTCAAGCATAAAAACCTACCCCCCACCAACTCAGAGCCTGCCTGAGCCCATGCCCGGCAGCAGCATGCCAGCTGAGCCCCCAGCCCTCCCAGGAACATGCACGTTCACCCTGCTTCCTCGTGGGTGGCCTTTTTTTACCAGTCCACATTTTTATTTTTTACAACCGGACCTCCACCCCCAACTTCCCCAGCCCAGCTGGGCTTCCTTTGTCAGAATCAACTGATGATGCTTCCAGGACAAATCGGCTTCCTTCCCCCACCCTCCTGCCACTCCAAGTATTGAATGTACTTTGTATAATTTTAGTGGGATTATTGTTATTAAAGAGAATAAAATTTTTACAATCATAACTGGCTTTTCCTAAGAAACTAGCCGCGAGAAGGAACGTGTCCCTAGTGCATCCTTTGAATGGTGGCCTCCTCTGGTTTTATACTGTGACGGTGTTCTGCTTGTTATACTCAGGGTAATAAGCTGTCAGCTCCTTCCATAGTGAGGGTCAGTGGGCACTCACAGATCTGGAAAAGGAAATACTTTTATCCCACCTCAACTCTTGAAGAGTCAGCGTGACCACTTCTACTTGGGGACATGCATTCCCTGTCAGCAGTAGCCATTCCCGAGAAGCTGGCACAGGACATGGCATCCTGCACATACTGTATGGACATGAAGAGACACCTGGGCCCCGCTGACACCGCGTGCTTCTTCTTACTCTTGGCCTACACTGTCTACTTACTCTTCACTGCAGCTGCATAGCAGTTGCTGCCGCCTACTTCCTGCTCTGGATGTCCCGGGCAAGGTCTTTGGCTTCAGGACCCTAAACAAGGTTACAACTGTCTGTCCCTGCTGTTTCTGTGGCATGCCTCTCTTAGCACACACCCCTCTTCTTCACAAGTCTGGCCCTAGCCCTCCTCCCCGTTCCTTATTTTCTTCCACATTAACACCTGTCCTCTTGCCACTAGGCCTTTGACATGCTGACATGTGACTATGACAGTGAGTGATTCTGCTGAGCGCCATGTTTCTAGGTTTCTGTACCATCACTGTTCATGAACCTTCTACCGCCCATGACCCTGCAGAAACGGGGACACATGCCTACTAGACAGGCAGAATGTGGATGCAAGTGTGGCTAACCCTTGTGCATGTGTATCCTACACCGAGCATTAGCTCTGCAAGGGACTTTCCCACTCAAGCTAATGGCCTTACACTGTCCCACTGACTCGTAAGCCAGGTATCTTTGCCTTCTTCCCCAGGCTACTCCTTCCTAATTGCTGCAGTTGGGGAGCACTAGCTAGGTCCCGATTTCAGGAGCCATGGTATATATGGTGGAAGTGAGGAGCAAACTTCTGCAGCCACCAGATGCTTATTTTGAGATTTCACTATGTAGACCAGGCTGGCCTTGAACTCACAAAGGTCATCCTGCTTCTGTCTCCTGAGACCAAGGACTAAAGACGTGTGCCACCACACCCAGCTACTAACTGCTCATTTATCCCTGGTTCTGCCAACTAGGGAGTCTGGAGTCTAGCAGATATAGCTCCCAGGTAGGTGACTGTGTACTCATGGAGATAAAGTCTCAAGAAAAACACAGAAAGCCAGCCTTTCTGGCTGGTTCTGTCATGTCTGTCATGTAGCAGGGCAACCCAGGCAAGTCACTGGGCCTCTGGGGTTCCTCTATAGACCGTATAGGGCAGGCTTCAGAGTGCCTTTTCAGAGTAAAAACCACAAATCTAGCAGGCCTCAGTAGTGTCACAGAAGCAGACGACTAGCCGGTCTCCCACGGGGCCTTACTGTGTCTCTGCAGCTGGAGCCAGAGTTGCCTGTTAATGCTGTTCCAATTCCCTCTGAAACTATTCCTCTAGCAGGTAAGAGAACATTGCCAGCCCACGACAGAGTCCTTAAGGAGTGACTGTGCAACCTGTGACTACAAGTGTTGACAAGATTCCAGCCAAGCACAAAGCACTGAGCACTTGCATTCCATTCTAGCATGTATAAAGTAGGCTGGGCATGCTAGGATGCCAGGAAGCCACCCAAGTCTGACCAAACGGTTGTGCACTGCCACTGAGCTCCACTTGTTTTTCTGGAGGGGCCTAAGATGACAGCTGAGTCACATACCCACAGCAAGGACATTTGAGCCAAGGAACCCGGTGTGCCTAAGCAATTAACATTTAGCTAACTGGAGCTAATACAGAAGGAAGCTGGTGCAGTTGGCAACCAGCTCTGACCCTCCCAACATGTTATTGTTCTAGCTACAACCAGAGGATGCCAGTGCCATACAAATCTGTGCTGCAGACATATATACTCTGGTCTAGATAATGGATTATCCCATAGGAAGCTGGTGTCACTCCTCTTTCCTAGGGGACAGGGCAGATGGAGGACCTTGCCTGCTTATATGCTGGTCACTATGGCTTATCTACAGAGGTTGGAAAAATAACAGAACAACAGCTCTGGTCCAGGCAAACCAACTTTTCCCCTTAGGTGAAGAGCCCAAAAGAGAAGAATTCAGGAACTGGGAAGCAAAAGCAGAGGGAAAAAAAAGTGATAAGGACTAAAGAAAGGTACCTCTGGTAAGGCAACACCTGACCGAGTAGCGGTGATTCAGGGGAGGGCATAGGTCTTAACCTCAGTCTGAGGAACAAACTTCCTACTGGGCCCTGAGACCTCTGGAAGCCATACAGGCAGGAAGTCAGTTACCTTTCTAGGTCAGACACATCAGCCTGCTTGCTTTTTACAGAGGGGAAATAGGTGGCTGGAATTCCAAGTCTCTTTCCTCCATTCCTAGAGGGCAGTAAGCCTCAGGTAGACAAACGACAGAAGTGACTTCAGTACCACTACAAGTCAGACAATCCCTTGCCTCCCAGATAGAGTTGGCAACTGAACACTGATGGCTCTCTCCAACTGGTCTCAGAGCAGTAAGAATTCTGCCTCCTGAGATAATGTGCAAGGCTTAGAGAAACCAACCCCAACCATCCTTTTTTGTTTTCTCTCTTTCTCTCTCTCTCTTTTTTGAGACAGGGTTTCTCTGTGTAACAGCCCTGGCTGTTCTGGAACTCACTCTGTAGACCAGGGTGGCCTGGAACTCACAGAGATCTGCCTTCCTCTGCCTCCCAAGTGCTGGGATTAAAGGCATGCACCACCAAGGCCCAGCTCCTTCTCACTTTCTCACCTAACTGTAAAATTCCAGTTACTCAGGCAGGAGTACATCTGGCGGAATTGGTCCCTAGACCCTCCTCAGAGGTCAGTAGTTGCAGATGCTCACTCAGGTCCTGGCTGTAAAATGTCCTGTCTGCACAGAGCCTTCCTATATACTCTATGCTGTGGTGGGAACTGTAGGTCAGCCCTGGCTGCTTCCACAGAACTGGTGTTTCAATTACAGGCCTCTACACCATTAGACACAGTGAACCATGGTAAAAAATCCACCAGTGAGACTCAAGTTTTCCTGAGACACCAAAAGCAGAGACCAGACTAAAGTTGGTCATAGTGGCATTCATCAGTAATCCTAGCACTCTGGGAGTTGAAGTGAAAGGATGAGGTTATAAGCCAGCCTGGGCTACACAGCAGGCTCTGTCAAAGGGAAAAGAAACCTGGGTCTGAAGACAGTTCCACCCAATCAGCTGCAAATGTTGGGAGAGCTGGAAGCCTGAGATGTGGCACAGAGTGAGAGCTTGCTCTGACCCTTTCAAAACCCACAACCCTGTCACCTTTTCTCAACATCAACAGAGGTACACTAGTGGCCTCTGAAAAATCAAGCTACATGAAACTTGTCTTGGTCTGCCTCCTGAAATGGTTCAGGGTTGCTTTGGATACAGAACATGCTCCAGGAATGACAGCACAGTAACAGGAACAATGACACAAAGAGGTAGAAGGTGCTTGCAGTTTTACCTAAATGCCTTGTCAGGAAGGAGCTGACATGCCTGCGCTGCCAGTCAGGCAAGCTTAGCACAGGGAGGATCTGCACAGGGAAAGGATGGCAGCACTCACAGGCATCACAATGGGCAAAGGAAAGCCACCATCTGCTGGTGGGCACCAGTGTCAATACACTGGAAGGGGAAAGGAAGGGCTGGATGAGATCCAGGGCCCTCTCTACCCACGCTAAACAGAGGAGCTTCCTCTCCCTGCCAGTATGTCAGTGCCAACACATTCCGCGTGTGTCTCACTAGTCTCACACCCATAGGAAGGGAAAAACAATGGCTACTGGAACCAAGAGTGAGAATCAGGCCCATTCTAAGAAGAAACACACAGTCAGATATATGTCTCCCAACCTGAGTCCTGCACACCTGCTACCTCCCTCCTCCATGAGACAGAAACAGGCAGGACCTGCTGCTCACAGCCCAGGAGCTGTTGTTTGGGAAGCCCAAGGACAGTGGGGTAGATAAAGGACGAGGCAGCACCTTAGGCTGGAAATCCCTTCACAATCAAAAGCTACAACTCTGTATGTACAAACAGCAGGGCCTTGGTGGAGTAAAGTACAGCCATAACAGGCATGTCCCACTAGTTTGCAGTCTGAGGATTCCAGAAACCGCTAGGCATTAGTCATCTCTTTAACAGAGCTATCAGCAGTTATAGCTTCTGGCTATGATTCAGTAAGTTTGCTTCTCTGATGTTTAGAATCTTAAACTAATTTTTTTTTTTTTTTTTATTTCAAAAACAAAATCAAAACAAGTTTCCAGGGAGAAGGTGGGCAGAAGATGGACATGTCATTATCAGTTCCTTCCTACCTCCTCAGGCTGGGTGGAGAGGGGAGAACAACATGGAAGAGCATCACCTCAAGGGATGTGGGTGGCACATAGCCTTGTGGGTGTGGTTTGCAATCTTTAGTCACACAACATCCAGGAAGGGTTAGTTCTAGGGCAGAGCTCATGGCGTCAGCTAGTCAGCCCCTTTCTCTATGCCCCCACATAACATGGTAGAACCAAGCAGTCTCTTCCCCTATAATAACGTATCAAGATAAGTTCTGTCCTTGCTTCCTGTGCTACTAGGAAAGGAGAAAAACAAGAAAGCAACAAGGTACAGTGAACCCTTGCAAGCCAGCTGGTGCCTGTCCTTGCACCAGTGGCATTTCTGAGACTTGCCTGCACCCCAACCCCTCATATCGGTGGGAAAAGTTCAGTCATCTGCTCTGGAGTTTACAGAAAAATCAAGCAGAGTTTGAGCCACAAGTGGACTGTGGCACATTTTGGGTTAGGTTAAAATGTCACATGTGCACTGGAAGCAGGTGAAGAAGTTTTTTGAGGGAGGTGATGTCGAGGCAGGACAGGCATCTAACCCTCTGCGGAGATGCTCCCTGTGGCAATGTCAGGAGCTAGGGTGCTTCCAGGAAGGTGTTGGTTCGGAAGATGGAAGAGACGATCTTCCCTGTAGC